CACTACATTTGTCAGACAAGGATTTGCACAACATGTGTGAACTATTACTACTAAATAGCCTGAGAAACACTAGGGAAAATGTCAGACTGACTCCACTAGTGTTTCCTGTTTCGGATATTGCTGTTTGAGGAGCATTTAAGAGCATAAGGCAGAAAGAAGCTACTTTATTAGAGAAGGCATACCTGCTGTGAAACTGCTCTGAGCTTTAGAGCTCTTTAAAATACTAGATTTTTCACTAAAGTCTGAACAGAAAGGAAAAGAACTTCATAGGGCATTTATTCCGGTTTCCCTGATAGGTTAATTATATACGTTATGGTCTAAATGTAGTGGCTTGGTTCCCATGGTGAAGCATTAGGATAGCTCCTGGAGATTATGGTTTGTTCTGCCTCTCTTTGAGAAGGCTCAGAAGACAATGTTGTAGGAGAAGCAGTCTCCCACTGGAGAGTTCTTCTTGCTTTTGTTTGGTGACTGTTGTCACTGGCAGTCCAAGGCTCTGGGAGCCTAATGAATTCTTGGAGTGCTCTTGGCTCCAGAGAACATGCAGCCTGCAGTTCTGGATTTTGAATGATACATTGTAGTTTGGGATTTAAAAGTTTAGTATAAGTTTTCATATGGCAAATTATGGCATCCATACTCCAGGCACTGTAATTCTACTTTGTGTGTTAAACAGTGCTGACTTAGGTTCATTTGTCTCCAGTACTGGCTAAATACTCACTGGGGACCAGTGTGGTGTGGAAAGCTGTTAAATGTGAAGGGTGGAGAAATAGATTAAGCCAGTGAGAGGTCCCATGTTTTCACAGGATTGGAGGTGTATATTAGATTATTCTATTCACTTCTGTGTACCCTTTCCAGTTCAGGTGGGCTTCGGGAGACATGTGAACATGATTTGGAAGTTACTTAAAGGATTTAGGTGTGATGGGTAAAGATGAGCAGTGTATTTATGTGGGCATCTTTGCCACAGTAGAGACGAGGATGACATGAAAATGGAGTAGATTCACGTTGATAAAAGTTATAGAGATGGTGTCTCAGAGAATTGTGGTGGGTCTAGACAGTTTTAAATTATTGACGTATCAGTGTGAACACAGTTCTGTCCAAGAGACCTCCTGGTGGCTGTTTACAAAATTAATTCCCTAGAGGAACACTCCTTACTATCTAAAGCAGAAAGAAGTAAAGTGTTATAAAAAGAGAAGGAGAAATCTATCAAGATATGGTGGAAGTCCATAAAAGGTGTGAGAAAAGAGAGTTAAATACTGTTTTCTAAACAGCTTCATAGCAAATTAAAAATATTTCCAAAGTTATAATTCCTATTTCTTTCTCTATTTCTTCATCTGCTTGTTTTTATTTTTCTGAGGTAGTTTTAATTTAATTAATATTATCAACTAGCCACTTATATTTATTCTTTAGCTTTGCAGTTATTTTCAGCTTATTTTCAGTTATTAACACTTTTTTGTTCTGCTTGGCTTTGTACACTAGTGAAACAAGACTGAACAGCAAATACTGTCTACAGAATTTGCACTGGATTAGCTACAGAGGATGACAGTACAGAACCTGCTTTTTATAGCACTGAACTCACCCTCGTTACTTGTTTAGCAGCACAACTGAAACAAGAAAACATTTGTTTATCGAGCATGCCCTAGGCTGTATGGTATTCCTGTTCCAACTAACTGAAGAAAGTACCCAGTTATTTTATATCCACATCCTTAGGTTTTGTCTGCTCTGAATGACAAGCATAGAACTGTGCTGTACTCTAACAATACTAACCAGATTTTTAAGTCTAGACTGTAAAGTACCCTGGATACACCTAGAAACAAAGAAAGTTTTGCTAGGGAATTAATTATAGAAGTGTGTTTTTTTAATTATATGTACACATGTGCACTGACAATAAAGCTTTTATGGGAATTAAAATGTCATTGATAATTAAAGTAGATTAATTTGGATAAACAAAAATGTTACATTCTACCTACAACATTAATGATCTTAAAGATAATTTTTTTAAAAAGCTTAATGTAGAAAAAGTATTTTCTTGCACTTTTCCCCAACAAATTTCACATAAAAGAAGTCTGGATTATTTCAGTGAGTATGGCAGGATAAACTTTTGAACTTCTGGATACTTTTGCAAATAATATTCAGCCATCACTTCATTTTTTATTAGAACTGCAGTTTGTCTGAACTGTCTCTTCTCTTCTTGACTATAAAATTCAGATGAAATGGAAACCTTGAGAGAATCTTGCTTCCAGTCTGATTCAACTGAAAGTATGAAAAGTTCTTTTGAGAACTAATTCCTTGTGTCAAAAATAGTGTAAAACAAACCAAACCACCCTAACTTGAGTGTTCCATGTTTAGACTATGTCCTGTGTATATTCAACCTTATTGATAAAAAGAGAGGAGGTTTTTCTCAGGCTTTATTTCTATATATTGTAGTAGGCTAGTAAAAGAGGCTAGTAATTAAGTACAAAACAGTTCCAGGGAAGACAAGGATTGCATCCAATATGTATTTCTGATTGCATTTCATCTGATGGCACTTGAGTCCCTATTCTAAAAAAAATTAATAGCTGCTTTTGTTGCTTCATTTATAGTGAGTAACCTGCTTTCAGAGGGACTTATCCTACTGTTGATTGAGCCAGAAACCATAAATAAATCAAGGACAAGTCTGGACTTAGGTTTTTGGGTTTTGTGGGGTGTTCTATTTTGTGTGTGTGGTATTGTTTGTTTTGCCTTTTTTTAAAAAAAAAAAAAAGAAGCAATTGGAGCTTGATTGATTCCTTTTATAGCTTTCCTCTATGAGTGAGCTGCAATCAAAGGATTCTTTCAAGATGTTTTTCTTCAATTTTGTTCCATTTCTGTCTAAAAGGGGGAGGTACTACTTCAGGCTTATGTAGAGATGAACCTGAGAGTGCTTCAGCTGGCACTTTTAAACTGAGTGGATTCTGGGTTTTCAGAAGGTAAACTAAGGAAGAGGATAAAGCCCAGTCCTCTGCATAAGGCAGCTCAAATCTTGTTAAAGTATGCCTGGAGTGGCACTGGTACCTTGTTACCTGATGGTAGCTTGTTACATGTTACAAGTGTCATGCTGATTGTTGAATTCTACTTTTTAAGGAAAAAAAAACAACAACAAACAACCAAAAGCTACTGAGAGAATAAATCCAAAGCATAATCTCACTATTAGGTGGGTATGCATCCAGAAGGAACATATTACCAGTTTACTCAAACTTCGTGAAACTGTTGGATGTTTTGGTTTGGTTTAGTTTTTGGTTTGTGTTTTTTTTGTTTGTTGTTTGGTTTTTTTTTGGGGGGGTACAGGGGGGCTGGTTGTCGTGGGTTTTTTTTTAGTTGTTTTTTGTTGGTTTGGGTTTTTTTTTGTTTAGCTGTTGTTTGTTGGGGGTTCTTTTAACACAAGTCTCACTGGCAGTTACAGGAGCTACTAGCTAAAACTTCTGGGGTATTTTTGTTGTATGTAAGACATCACATAGACTTTGAGCTTCTTATTGTCTACAAGAACTGATAATTAGAAAAATGGGGCTGTTCCCCAGGCTGACACTCTATGTAACTTTGACTGCTTTTTTCTTATAGGAGGAGTTCAGTCAAGAGCATTTCACATAGTTATTGTCTTCACTTAATAGCTAATCCAAGAAGATAATCAATTCAGGGCAAAAATATTGAGATTTGAGCAAAATAACTGTTTACTTGATTTAATTTCTTTGTTCTTAAAAAAAATTCAGCTTTAATGGAATTCTTTCAAACTTTTTGGCTTTTTTACAGCTCTTGAAAAAATTACAAGGAAAGATCTTTACTGGATTTATCAATAACAATTTCTCATAGTTCAGTTTTTTAAAAAAAGTGAAGATGTATCATAGCTTCTGATTGATTGTCAGGTTTGTTCTTTACTTATCTTTGACAAAATATTAACAATATTAATCTTTAATTTTCTTTTCCTTTCTGCACAGATATAATCAATGTGTTACTGATGTATAAGATTTTAACTCAAAGTGGTGAGGGATGCTCACTGGAAATCACTGTAGTGAACAAGCATAGTATGTGTGAGATTTTTTTTATTACAGCAGCATCTAGAGGCTCCATCTGAAATGATATTTCCTCTGCTAGACACTGTATGAACACAGTGAGAGACAGCTCATGCCCTACTCCCTGCAAAAAAACCACAACCCAACATGCTCATATTAAAATAAACACATTTTGATGGTGTGTATAAAGAAAAGCAATATCTTGGAGATGACAACATTTTGTTTGTAAGAACAACATTGTAAGATTTCAGCAAACCAAGTTTCCCAATGGAGGTGCTGTTGCAAGTATCCTTGCAATAGAGACTACAGTTGCCATACAGAAAGCAACCATCATATTTGAGAGATCTGATACCTAAAGATAGTAAAACATTTGTCTTCTTTAACAGTCACTCTCTCTGTTCTGTGTCTCTGTCCAACTGACTTAAGAGTGGAGTTACAACTGGAGTATCTGTTCCAGTGTGGAACTTGCAATCACTATCAAAAACTAAAGGCAAAATAAAAAATAGGGCAGACAGCATGGAAATAAAATGTTTAATGGATTAGGCCCTATAAAAACTAAAAGTATCCATCTTACTTTAGGTGTCCTTATTTCACAAGTCAATCACAGTGCGTATAGTTATGGGTAAAAGAGTACAAGTAGGTATAGAGTGTACATTCAACTCACAAAAATCTTGTTCTGCACAGTGAGAAATGAAATTTTGTTAGTATAAGGCTTGAATGGCATGCAAGGGTGGAGGTACTGGACTTTCACACTGTGCAGTTAACTGATAGGTCATTATGATGGCATCACATGAACTAAGATGCTGTTGGTAATCACGTATATGGATTTTATTTGTGGTCGGGGTAATGAAAGGAATTACTTTCCAAAGTAACTTTACATAATCAGAAAGAAAAAACCAGAAACATAGTCATTTTATGTTGAGAGAATCATTGCTGTTCAGATACAGTAATTGTTCTAATTCTGAAATTGATTTGCATTACCTGGATCTGGTTTTCCAGTTTTATATTGTCTCGAATTGAAAAACCTGGAATAATAAACATTTAAACACCAGTAAAAAGTCATGTTTGTATTCTGTTGGTTAAAAAAGACTAGGCAGTAATGTTGGCCATTAAGCTTTGTGCACAGCATGGATGTGTCAGATCCTCAGCCACTATCACATGTATTCAACAGGGCTGTACGTATCTACTTTTGTATGAAAGTTCTTCAAAATTCATGTCACTAAACAATTTCTTTGATCACCTTTAGCAACCATTTAGCAGATTAGTTAATTGATGAGATTCACACAGTTCCTAGAAAGCAGCTCTCTACCAAATTTGCTGCAGTCTTGATTATTCATGAATAATGTAAAGTACCTGGATTAAAGCAAGAGTGAAAGAAGCCCTGAGGCAATGTAGTGGTTTACTTAGTTAACCTCACATCAATTCAGTGTTAATTTGTCATTAAATTCTTTTTGTACCTAGTAGCACTGTACTTGTACTTCTTCAAAAGTATGTTCCAGATAGATATGAGGAACATTTGATTTTCATATTATTTTAAATTCAATGTAATGAATTTGGGGTATGGAAGTTATTACTAAAAACTTGTAGAGCAGCAATTAACTTCTACCAAGTCTATGTATAATGCAACATAAGTAGAAAATTATATAGATCACAGACTGATGAAGATCTATTAGATCAATTTAACTGTTCTTTTAAAATTACACAGAAAAAAAAAAAGCTTACTCTTGAATTATTGGTATAAGTTGAGTGCCGAGATCTTCACAGTGAAACCATTTTTCAAAGAGGACATCAGTTGATTCTCCAACATAGTACCTGGCAAAATAAAAACATTAGTCAGTCTTTTTATTAACTAACTGATGAGGCAATTAGTCTTTTCAAGAAAATAGCTACTTGTTGTTGTTTAAGAGCATGTTATTCTCAAGCCTGGTGTACTTTATTCTGAAGAATGGTGATTTATGGAAGCTTTCTGTTGTCCTGGTTAGCTGACTTGGTGGGTGGGGTGCTCATACTTCCGTGGAGGACCTTGTGCTTCTGCTGATCAATCACAGACAAGTCATCAAATTCCTTTAGCAAGCTTTCCAGATTTAATCCTGGGAATGATTGGTGCTATAGTCCCTTAGACCAGTAAGACTCACTTTGGATGCAGTTACTGAAAAAATATACCTGCCCCCAAATAACATTTCCAGTAACTGTTTCCATGCAATTATAGGATAAATGCTCATATTTAAGAGAGTCATCTTGCTTATTGCCCATGCATGGACTGATAAACTGAAGATGGCTTATGGACTTGTTTACAAAAAAAAATAATAATAAAAAAGTCATTTGCATAAATTTGAAAAGTGTTGTTTAGCTCACCCCTCTGAGGAGGAACTTAGGGCTTGACTTGCATTATATTATGTCTTAATGAATAAATTGTGCTGACATGAACAGGTCAAGGTTGCTGTAATCTCTGTAGTGGCAAATAGAGAATTTTCCTATAGATTTAAAAAAGACTGCTTGTACTGGCAAGGGAGTGATGCTCCAGTACAGTCACTCATGTTTAGGCTGATTGTAAATAGGTCCTGTGTGTCCTTTGGGTTGAAGTTACTAGAATGTGTGTCTGAAGAGAGAAACAAGGCCTATATAATATACTGTCCATATTTGTATATTCACATCTGTCTTCTATATCTATATATATACATTCCAGAAACTTTTTAAAAGCTCCCCAGCTCCTCAAGTTTTGCAAAAACAGGGTTCTCAGAAGAGTAATGTTATTAATGCTTCCAATATGGAAAAAGCATTTTTGCTTTTTATGAGCACAAATTTTGAACACAGAGAATCTACAGAGAGGAGAGATGTAACAAATGCCTTAGTTGGGAGAAAGCTTTGCACCTTACTAGGTGTTAAAGAATCCAGCTACACAACTAATATAAAACATAGTTGCCTTTGTACTTGTTTGCCATAGGATTAAGATTAGCTAGTGCATTTTTCTTACGGTACAAAGCATGGAATCATTACTTATGCTGAAACACAGCAGCAGGCTACTTATTCTTGTACAATAATTGGCATGCTTGGGGCTCTGATTAATGACAGAAGCTTGTAGGCATGATAAATAATGGAACAGTAACGTAATATTAGGCCTTGAGTCAGCATACTTCAAAGTTTATTATGATTTCCTCTTGTACAGTCTTTGCTGCAGGTGGCTGGGAATGAGAAAAGTCTGAGAAGATTAGAGCTTCTGGTTGTAAGTCCCCATCTTTCCCAGGAGCACACAGAAGAGATGATGTAGGTTCAGAAGTATGACATGATTGCTCACTTCCAAAACTTCAGGTGTCTTTGCTTGTCATGTCAGTGTGACAACAAGGGCACTAAAAAACTCCAAGTGAGATATTTTCAATTAAGAGTATGTTTTGTTAATCCAATTAATTTTTTTCCACCTGCAAACCATATGGTAGCTTTTAGTTTAATTTCTCCACAAGAGCATGACTTTATTGGAGTGCAATTCTCCAGATCTACGTGGGATCCCTAAAAAGGCATTTGGTATCTCGCTAATTCATACCACTCACAGACTTCATTTATCTCTAGGTTATTTTACTTGAACTTTCCCAAAGCTACTTCTGTTTCTTTATTGCAAATAAACATTGTTATCTGAATCACTGGCCGATTGTTTCTAGCTCAAAATATCTTTTGAATAATTTAAGTGCTCACAAATCACAGACCTGCATTGAAAGGAAAAAAGACAAATGCACAGATGAGCAATATTTTAAATTAACTGGATTTATCTTTAGTTTGGACTACAAACAGGTGTTTTTTTGAATGGTTCCTTTCTTAGTTTCTCATTTCTTTCTTTAGCCTTTTTTGTTTGAATGAAAAAGTATATCTGTCTAGTTCCACATATCTGCAATCTTCCCGCTGTGACATTGCCCATGCAACACTCGACTGAAGGCAGGACAGAAACGGTACATTACAGATATTACCACAGTTTTAAATCTTCATGAACCATGTGGTCACTTGCATCTGGTTAATATCAAACCAGCTTTTCAAACTTGGCTAATGTTACTGATGTGACTTGCCATCTTCGACTTAGGAATTCTGTATGACCACAGGACAAGGCTTGCACCTGCTGCCACTAGAATAGAAAGTAAACCTCTCATTTTCTTTGAAGATGTTGCTCTCATAAAGCAATAAAAGCTAGGCAGAGGTGTGTGCAATGCAGAGGGGTTAGTGTTAAGAAAATTTACTTTTGTTTTCAGCTTCCCACACACTTGCCAAGACAGCTCCTCTTAATCTTTTTGCTTTCAGTGTTTACAAAGGAATTCATGTTCTGCTTGCCAGAACTGATTAAAAAAAATAATCTCTTTTGTGTTGTTACAGAGCTCTGAGATTTTAAAACTTAAGGTGATTGTAGTAGGCAATACATAAGTAGATAGCTATCACCACAACATGCATTTAAGACATTTCAACATGTTCCCTGTTTAACTAATCAAATGCTAAATAACATCTCTGTTTATATGTGTATAGATAGACTTGTGGATAAAATTAATAGGAAATTGCCAGAGTGAATTTGATAAATTATCAGGAAAGTAAAATAGAGTATTTTATTGACATGATATATCAGTTTATGTTATGAATCCTAACAGATTAGCCAACAGTTTATACTTCACCTGAGCCCATCAATTTCTGTCTTTAACCTTTCTCTCTCAACCACAAGACCCACAGTGCTTGCATATCTCTGAGGAGAATGAGGTATCCTTGCAGGTAGGAGAAACATCTGTTCAAAGAAAGGGGAAAGCATCCGAGTCAGGAAGTTGTCATCCTTTGTGTTCTTCTTCCCTTGCCCCCCAGCCTGTAAAATCCTCTTCTCCTTGCCTCACTTTCCCCCTATTCTTTGTCAATCCTTTGTTGCTCCTTCACAGGTGCACCCACTTTGGTCTCAACAGCCCAGCAGATACTGTTTCTTGCTTTCTCAGTGAATGATGACCATTGACTGCAACTGGCACTGCCCTTATGGCAGTCAGGTTCTCTCCTTCTGGTTTGAATACTGTTGCTAGACACAATTTAAATCAAAATCTAACCATTTATGCATCTGGAATTTATAAATTTACTTTAATTTCTGTAGCAGAAATGGAAATAAAAAGCAAGTTCGATGCCAGTTCAAGAAACTGTCTAAACTAATCAACCATGTTTCCCTCCAATACAGTGAGCATCTGTGATTGCATGATTGAGGAGTGTTTTTCTCTCCAGAAAAAAATTAACAAATATGTAGGGCTACTTACTCATGCAAGTGACAAAGTGAATGGCAACATTTAGCTGAGAGAAGTCTATTTCTGAATTTTGAGAATAAACCTCTTCGTAACAGCTATCTGACTATGTAGGAAGGTGGTAAGCCTGTACTGTTCTTCAGTGCTACAGATCTCTTAGCTAGGTTTGGGCAAGTCATTACATTTTCTCTGTCGCAAAACAGAGCTGATGATAATCCCTCACCAGAACTAGTATTAGTCTTCCCCCTAAGGATATCGTGTGCTCTTTTTCATTAATGCTTCTGGTAAGTGCCAGGGTCTCAGCTGGATGTACTTCTCCAGTGTGAATTGTATTACCAGAACCTCACTGTCTATAGGTTTGAAAATGAAGATTTAGTTGAAAATGTTGCACTACTTTTAATGTCATCAAGCTATTTGGTCTGATATATGTCTTCCATTTTAAAGGCTGGCCTCCCTAGATCTATTAATCCTTTCAAAGACAGAGTGCAGTTCAAGCTTGTGACAATAATAATGAGTGGCAGTTGTAGCACATCTAGTAACTCCTAGTAACACTAAGTAAAATATCTAGTCACCCTCCCATTATGACCACTGCAATTTATGATTTACCAAGTCCACTACTACAAGGAAAAACAACTGAGTGCTGCTGAATACATTTTATCTATAAACTGCACTTTTAAAATTCTTCTGCTGATGGTTGCAAAGGCTGTGAGGACTAAAGACAGCAGAAAAAGCTGAATTTCTTAACTTTCTCATCTCTAGGCAGTTTGTTTAATGGCTTGTTTGGGTGGGTGGGCAGTATGTACCTGACAATGCCTAAATAAAAGATTGATCCGCTTGAATTCTCATGACAAATTCAATGCTGTGCAGCGGAGTAAGTACTCCACTTAGCATATTTCTGACTGTCTGAATGGGAATCTCAAATGCCCAGAAATTTTTGTGTTACTGAAATCAGGAAATGTTGAACATAGTGTATTGTAGTTTGCTGTTAATTACACGGAATCTACTATACAGCATTCACAATTTTTTAAACTTTTTAAAAAAAAAATTCTGATGCTATCCCTTGCATATTAGGGATAAGATGATTTTTAAACACTTAATTAAATACTTAATAAATTGTTCATTTAATGTATCTGTGTGCAAAAATAACAGAAAACCCTGTCTTACCTCCCCTTCTCGGATGACAATGTCTTTTGGTTTCCCGTTTTCAATTATCTTTAAACACATATCTCCTTTAACCTGATAAAAAAGCTGAAGGAATAGGAAAATAACAATAAGGCAACTACTCCAAAACATTCCAAAATGTCCTATATATAACCGATACATGTACAAATACGTTCAACCTGTAATTGCAAATATTTACAGGTGTTTTATAACAATAAGTAACAGACTTCCAACATTTGTTGGTTTAAAAAATCTTACCAAATATGTATTTTTCCATTATCTTACATACATTTTGAGGATCTATTTAAGAGGTCTCTAACTGCTTGTAGAGCTATACTGTCAACCCAGTGGAATTCCATTGTGCTGTCTTTACTTCTGGGAATTACTCTTTGTAAGGCTGGAATGTTATGGTTCAGACATCCATTAATTACACTGTATCTAAACTTCATTTCAGATGGAGCAGGGTCTTCACTATTACATCTATTAGATTCAGTCAAATGTAATCTTTCCAAATAAGGTCCAAATATGCACAGTTTTTTGTTTGGTGGGGTTTTGGGGTTTTTGTTTGTTTTCTTGTTTGTTTGGGTTTTTTTTTGTTTTTTTGTTGGTGGTTTTTGTTGTTTGTTGGGTTTTTTTTGTTTGGTTTGGGTTTGTTTTCTTAAAATTTTTAAATAGAAATTTCTCATATGGGAATAATTGTCTGTTTGAGAGCTTTATTTCTGTGGATATCTTCAAAGCCTAGCAACATCTGCTCCTTTTCCTACTGTTTATGTAAAAGGATTCAATTTGAAGCACGTATAAGGACAGAAGCACTGAACCCATAATTTTGACTTCAGTGACCTTTCCACAGCTCTGTTTTTAGAGATGCTTTGTAGGGGTCTGAGGTGCTCAGACCTAGCCTCAAGTTTCATGGCAGAACTATGCTTATCATTTGTAAGCAGGTCTTCTTGGACCTGGAATAATGGGGATGTTTTTCCTCATTTTATATAATACAAAGCAATAATACTTCAAAAGGTCAACTGTACTTTTCTGCCACACTCTGTCAAGTTTCTTTACGCTTTCCATGTTCTGTTTGTCATAACAAACATTAATTTGGAACCAAATTTGGAAACCAAACATTAATTTATATAATTGCTAGTGCAGCTAAAATTGTCTGAAACCTGATCCAAAGTTAGAACTGTAATTAAAATTATTTTATTTATGGCAATTACCTACAATTTTAGCACAATGAAAAATAAGAGAAAGAAGAACCAAAAAACCCCCAAACAAACAGAAAAGCCCCAAACTAAACCTTTCCTAATATTAGAAAATCTTAATCAATTTTAAGAAGCGGAATTCTTTCCAAAGCATTTTTAAAATATTCATACATGCCCCTGAGAATTCAAGAAACACCTTTATGAACATAAAAAAGAATAAATGTGCTGCCAAGGGAATGGAGCAGTACAGAGAACTGAATTAAAACTGTAAAAAAGCTCATGCTGAGAGCTCTTACACAAATGAAAAGTTCACCTTATGCTGGGGACATCACTAGGGATAAACTATAACTCTTGTCCAGATGGCCACAGTGCCAGGCTACTTATCCTCCTTGCACTCCATTTCCTCATGCTCTTTTCCTGTCATTTTCTTTGGTGTTACTGAAAGACCACATAAAATGCCATAGTAGCCCTCATTACAGAACACTTTGGACAAGGCTGACTGCTCATTGTACAACATAAAGTGATTTGAGTGGGGAAATGATCTCTCCTTCATTTCAAAAAAGACTCATCTAAGACCTTAAGATCCCGGTGCATTATCACATCAGTAATACAGCACTGGGAGTGCTGAAACTGAAAGATCCTTTTTGAAATGTTGAGCTTTGGACTGTTACCTTCCCTAAAACTATTCAGAGAGCTATTCCTGAACACATGTAGAGGACATGTACAAAAGAGAAGGGACAAGAGAAACAGAGTCTTATTCTGCTTGTGACCATGAATCACATGGCTAAGCAACCTTCAAGTAGTAAGAGACTGTGAAGGGGAAAGGGGTCATGCAGTTCAATAGCTGAGCATCACAGTCATGAGGAAACATTCTCAACGCTGAATTTGAAATTAAAAGAACTGTTTTGCAATGGAAAAGGAGGAATGAGGTGGGCTACGTGTTGCAAATAAAATTGTTTTTCTGACTGAATTTAAATAGTACCTTTCACTATAAATTATAGTCTATTCTTCAAAGCTCTTTTTTTGGAAAAATGTCTGAATGCTTCAGTTATCCATAAATCACCTGATGTAACTGTGATTAATACAAGTGGCAGTAATTATTGATTCTTCTGCTGTGCTTACATTATACCCTGAACTTTTATCAAGAAAACTGTCAACTGTTTTCTCAGTGAGTTACAGCCCATGCCCATTTCACAGGACAGTTTGGCAATACAGTAGTGTATTGTCTTTTTGCTGGAATGTAGTATTTTCCAAATGCTGAGTTTTGCATTCTGGGAAAATCTAAACTTGTCCTAAGTATCTCCTGAAAATATCAAGGCCTGAGTAAGGAAGTTCTGGTGTGTGTGTAGGTGCATATATGTACATATGTATACATAAATATGTATGCATATTTAGATAGTAAATCGGTAGAATTAATGCCACTTCGAAAGAGAAGCTTTCATAGTTGATCTGTTTTTACTGGGATAATCTGGTCTCCATTCTCCACAGTAATACTGAAAACTGAAGAAATGTGTAACATTTTCATTCTCTTAGTATCTGTTATATGTAAAATATATATACATCATTGCAAAAAAGTCTAGATTTGTACATTTCTACTACATAATGGATACAATCAGACATGATTTCTTTCTGTGTGAGGAATGTGGCTCAAAGAGGAAACAAATGTTTAACTTTCTTTTTATCCCTTTTATTACTAAATGTTCTTATTTGAGTGTTTTATTTATTTTATATCTCCTTCTTTTCTTCCTTTCATTTTTCTACCTTTTGTTTCACTTTTCTGCTTACTCTGGCATCTTCTTGTTCCAATTACACTAAAAACACCTACTCTTATTGGTTCTTACCTTACCTCTTCTGAGTCACCCAGAAGTCATTCCTTACCTTAAGCATAATATTTTTTCATTATACTGCTCATTACAATCATTAAAACTGCAGTTATACTTATGATAACTAAACTGTAAGCCCCTTAAGATGAGTTTATTTTTTGACTATTTTAATTTTCCTTAAATTGTCTTTACTGTAGGAGAATTACACCTTCCTTTCTCAGTCCGTTTCACCCTTCTTGATCATGCTTCAAACTTGATAGTATTGTGTTAAGCAGCAGTGAAAGGCAGCAGGACCAGTGCTGAATCACTGTCATGTCTGAAAAGAAGCATTTCACTCAGTTACTCAGACTGAAAATAAATTATGCAGGCATCTCTGGAGAAAATATGTGGCGATGCAGTGAGGTGGGAGTTCACTGCTACCTTCAGCAGAAGCATCACTGAAAATACTTGTCTTGGCAGGAATTCATTTCAACAGGGTAGTAGGAAGTGTTGCTACTACCTTAAAAAGAGCGCTGTTATGCCCATATATTAATGTGGTAAGAACTGGACCGCTCCTTCATGCAGGTATGGGTATCCTAGTGGAGTAAAGAAGGAAGCATGTAGTGGGGGGAGAACACAGCATTTTTAATTGGTTTGCATAGGCCAATTAAAAAACAAGTGTTTTATTTTCTGTACAGCAATGTATGGAATTCTATTTAGATCCACCTTTAATATCATACTCTGCCTAGATGTAGGAGCCCGGTGTTCTGTGAGGGCTTTTGTAGCTGAGAACTTATTCACAGACCTCTAAAGATGCTTGCAATTTGCAGCGTACTTTGATTACCGACTGCCTCTGAAAGTGGAATTTGGGATTGCTCAGCCACTTCTGGGATTAGGCTCTGATTTGGCATATCCTGGCTTGTATTGCTTGTCAGATTGCTAAATCCTAAATTACTTTGCAGAGCAAATCAAATTACCATGTGGGAGTAGAGCCTGGGTGTTCTCCAGACTTCAGTGGTGATTGATCTATTTGAGCACACAAAAACAATTTTCTCCCTCTCTCAGCACAAGGATTTTTAGCTGTCGGAAATCTGGGAGGTAAACAGATGAGGTAGGTAGAGAAAACTATGCTGAGGTGTTTTTTTCACCCCTCTGCTCATTTACATGTTGTCTGTGAAATCTGATTACTAGCCAAGACTCATCCCAATGATATTATGCAGCAAACTTATTTCTGAAGATTCAATCTAGTTCTGATCCAAAGGGCTCATCGCTCTTATTGCTTTGTAACAGGGAGCTTTGTTTCTTATGAAAAAAATATTCAAGGAGTTTTCACCAGATAAATGTGGGGTTTTAAAGTGTAAAAGCAGCAAGTTTTTTCTTGCTGCGCTGCAATTAATTCAGTTTTATTTAGGAGATAAGCACTGCAATACCACCTACTAGAATGCTCACTTAGCCCCTTTTTCCCTTCCTTCTTTGGCCAAGATGATCAAAGGAGAGGGAATTTCTGTCTGAGAGTCCTTTTTAGGATGGCAGCGTAAGGGCACTGATCTGTGGGGCTGCATCAGGACTTGGATGGTTGTGTCCATAGGAAACAACCTAGGTGTTGAGTGCAGAAACTTAAGGTGAAATACACACAGCGCAGTGAGAAGCAGGGATTTTAAAAACAAGCAGAATATTGTGCAGATGTGAATATGTTGCAGGTGGTAGATGAAAGGCTGATTTTAATTTCTTTGCATGGAACTACACTGTTTTTTGTAGCCCAAACACCAGAATAGAAATTGTTAAGAAATCAGTCAGCTACTTGAGATTCACTGTGTTTAAGTGGTGGTCTGAAGTGGGTAAAGAGACAGGAGCCTAACTACTTCTGTGATCCTAGAGTCAGCTGTTAGGATATCTCACTTTCCCCCAAAGCTGCCCATGCAATGCAGTAAATAAATACCAAAATTGGTTTTACTATAGCTAAGCTTTGTTATGATCATGGTTTTTATCTGTCATTAACTTCCCCCAAAACATACAGTCCCCTTTAGGTTCCACTTGCCTTATGTGACAGTGAAGTGAAAGTTACATGGTGAATTTGTAAGATAAGACTAGAGGTTTTCTATTCCTTACCTCAGGCTTTGCAATACCAAGACTCACAAATGCTACTGTATGAAAAGTTCAAGAGAAAAAGATATGTCCAGGACTGTTCACTGGTACATGGAATGCACCTGCTACACTATAGACATGAAGGCCAGCACAGAAGCTTTCAGTGATTGCATCAAGTTGACTACACAAGAATTTTAGTCACTATTCTATGTAATCCAAAGCTCTCTTGATAAGTGAGGTGGATTTCAATAAAGTTTCTGCTGAAAACTAACAAAACTAGCTATATAGAGAACACACTTTCTTTTTTTAGTGCATATTGAGACAGTTTTGTCTATATACGTGCACCCTTATAGCAGGTTTTTGCCATGTTTCAAAAGAAAATGCATCTCCCAAAGCAATTCAGGTTTATTTTGAGAATAATTCGGTTTTGGAGGCAAAAACTGTCTGAGTAGATGTTTGTTGACTGTGTGCATAACAGAAGGGAGCAGAGGGGAACTTAACATATACAAAGAGGAAAAAGAATGAATTTGTCATAATGGTCAGGTCAAGCCAAAGAATGTGAAAGGTTATCTTTTGTAAGGTGCATCTTGATTTGTCCCCTTATAAAACCTGTCCAATGTAAAACAATGTCTCAGGTATAAGGCAGTACTTCTGTGCAGAAGGATGGCAAATAAACAGCATGTAGAAAATTAACAAGGAAGTGAAGCAGTACAGAGAAAACACAGAAGGAAGAAAATATTGAGTTACATTTCTAGGAAACCTGCTTGTTGAGAGAGAAGAAAAAGATTGTGCAAAACTAGCTGCCATTTCAGCCTAAGCAAATGTTCAGGAGACAATCCTAAAAGACTTTGAAGAGAGTCCAAATCAAGCCTCCAGTATTCCTCATAATTAGCCAGTCACAACTGATCTTCCTGGTACATGTGCACATTAGCAGCGCCAGCAGGGAACAGCTCGGCAGCAGGAGGATGCTCCCAAGTCATCTCTGCCTGTGAACCCCTTGCTGCTGACAAGTGCAAGCTGTGCCACAGGACAGACTATCAGCTGCATGATAACAGGCATAAAATAATGAGTGAACAGATGTCAACAATCCTAAATTTAACTTTCTTTTCTGAACCAACACTTCTTTGCTATCAGAATAACAGTAGAATAGCACCAGATAAATTTGCATAAGGTTTTGTGGGTTTTCACATTTAGGATTTGGGCTGTTAAATTGAAAGACAGACTATATAGGCATACTCTTATCACTCAGAACTATAAATGACATCTTACCTGCCAAAATAATGAGCTGACCATGGTTATGAATGTTGGTTTTTCATAACTCCAAGTCTAATTTAGCAATATGCCCTTTTACTAGGACACTCTCTGCCTCATGGTTCTTGTCTAATGAACAGCGTAGTTCTAAAGGCCTAACGAGATCACTGGAAGGTGCAAATATGTCTGCTCAAAAGCTATAGTAAAATGCAATGCATGACTACATTGTACCTTCATAAAAAATGGATAAAATTGGTCCATATGTTAAACTGATAGTAACTGATAATGCTTCTGATGGGTATATTGCCAGTTTTCCTATCAAATAGGAATTTTATGTTTCCATTTTTGGTTGTGGAGTAATTGTGAGGAAAATTACTGTGTAAATGAGGATGCATTGATGCCTAAAAAATCTTAGATCCAGTTGAATTAGCAAAAAATTTACTATACTGTTGTGTACTAATAAAAATTATGCCTTTATAGGTATGGCTAATTTTTGCATACTTGTTGGAAAGTCATATAATGGGTTTAAGCTTGTTAAAGGTAGGCCAAATTAGTTTCAAACGTGGGAACATCCTGCAAATTAAAAAAAAATATAAGGTAAAATAAATTAATCTAACTTTTAAGCATAGAAGGAGATTATGTTTTTTTAATGAAACAGCATAGGAATCAAAGACCAAAGATAATCCAGCATGAACTGGGAAGTGCAGGGAGAGACAAGATCATCAAGAAAAATAAAAAAAACAACCCAAAACACAGTGTATTTAGTGATGTAGTGCAGGCTATTGTCCCAGTTAGACTTCAGCTTGTTTTCGTGTGTTCCTCTCTTAGTGTATAGATCTAATGTATTCTTTGAACAAGAAAACAAATTAGTTATATAAAACCAAAAAGGTTACATTACAGAAAAAAAATAGTTGAAATCATTAACTTCCATATGTACCTCAGTTTTATGCTTTGCAAAACCTTGATGTCATTGGGTTCGATAACAAAATTCACTTACTCTTTTTTCATCTATCATATAATACTTAACCAGATGCCACAACAGCAGTGTACAGATTAGATACTCTTTTCAGTGCTTTCTGAGTCACACTACAGATGTGATTGTTCCTTTCCCAGCGACATAATCATATTGATGAAGCCACATTATATTTTCCCCAACTAAGAATCTCCGGAATTTCACTGTAAATATATAATGGATGCTAAATTCTTCTGGATAGCAACAATTACTTCATATGCACTGCACCAAGACCTGGCTTGCCTCCGTACCAGCCCAAGAAACCTGTTGGCTGGTCCCAGGTGTTGCCAGAGCTCCCCCTGTGCAGCCCATCAGAAGGGACATAATGGAGAGTGTTGGGGAACCTCCTACGTGACGGGAGGTGGCTGTGTCCACAGCTGTGGGGGGGCTGGGAGACTGTGGTGGCAATGCAAAGCAAGCAGGAGTCTGACAGTGATTAAATTGGCAACTGCTCTTTGCAGAGCAGTACGGTTATAATGATTATAAACACCTGCACAGCACAATTATAACAGAAAATTAACACAAAGGCTTTTATGAAATGGGTTGGTTTTGTGAGAAACAATTAAATGATAAGTAATCACATTTTTTTTTTCTTTGTAAAAGAATTTACTGAACTTCACTCACTTCTGTCTTGAACTATGTAGATGATGCGGCTTGGGTTTCCAAAGGTACTTAAAATTAGGTGGCCAAATTTTATTGGAATTACTGTGAAATCAAATTACTCTGCTGAGCAGCAAGGCAAATTGTCTGTCATCCTGAAATCCCTACTGCCAGACCTCTAGAATTCCTTCACAGCCAGTCGTAATACCTCTGGCTGAGAGGAGTCCTCAGGCCAAGCAGACAATTTCATGAAAAAGGCCATAAACAAGTTAGATGTAAATTGTTACAATTTTGCAAAGGTTCTACTCTTTCCTCCTGTATTCTGCATTTGGCACAGTGGCTACTCTCAACTCAAAGCAGTGGGAAAACTTTCTTTTGATACAGAAAATGTGCAGCAAAGAGAACTTGACTCAATTATTTAACCTTCCTCCAACATGAGTGAATGCTGAAAGTGCTGATATTCTCCATAAAGTCCAGAAAAACACAATTTCAAGCCAATCCAAATATTATTTTTTTTTTTATTTCAAAGTTACTTTTGAATTGTAGATCAATCTTCTGCAACAAAATATCACATTAAAACTATTGTTACCTTTCCAAAGTTTTGTTTCAAAATATTGAAACGGGGCATTTTGATGTGTCAGAATGCATTCTTTCTTTTCCTGTTGAAAATTAATGATAGCAAAATAGTTCTGATCTCATGTGCTTGTTTCAAAGGAACTGCACAGATGGTGTGTAGTTCTTGTGAATGATTCTGTTTAAGTCTTAGAATAGATCTAATAAATACAACATCATTGAGCCTGGCATTGCTGATCTGTATCTTCAAAAATAGCTGCATTTTAGTAATTATGGAACAATTAAAACAGCAAAATATAAACAATCTATGGGTTACCTCTTCTCCTTCTTCAATATGATAATCCTTCCTTTCATTTGGCCCTCCAACAAACATCACATTCAGTTGATAGCGATGCCTAGATAAAGAAAATGACATTTTAAAGCTACCTCCACTCATGGTGTTCTTTATTTCATATAAGCGTTGTGGGGTTTTTTCATTACTTTCTGGACAGTGCGTCAATGAAACAACACTGAGCAACATCCAGAATAAGAACTGAAGTGATCATGGATGCACCTCTCTGCTCTGCCACTGTCCTGCCAGGTGACCAGCTACCTTCGTCCTGGTGATTTAGTACCTCCAGCTTTGAAAATGGGACAACTATAGTTACTGACTGTGGAGAGGACATTGAACAGTAAACATAAAGGTTGCTACATAAGAGACTGGAAAGACAGGAAAATGCGTTTTAGATGTGAGCTGATAAGATCAGGATTCTGTAAAGGTAAAAACATTGCTTTTTCCCAATTAGTAGAATTACTAGAGATATTGATGGTAGGAATTTTCAGCTAAATTCTCTTCTATTTATACTTGTTTTGGTAAGGTGGAACAACATTGCAATGGTTTTGTTGTGGTTGGTTCAGAAAACGAGATTCATGCGCTTTATCTTAATGCTGCCCCTTTTAAGAGCCCCAGTGAGCACTTCTCTCAGCTGGCACAAAGAATAGATATCATCCCAATTAGCTATCAGTCCACTTATTGGTAAAGAGGTAAGGTAGCAGATTTTGATTTGAATCATAGAATCCTAGAATGGTTAAGGTTGGAAGGGATCTTAAAGATCATCAGGTTCCAACCTCCCTGCTATGAGCAGAGACACCTTCCACTGGATGAAGTTGGACAAAGCCTCATCCAACCTGGCCTTAAACACCTCCAGAGAGGGGCCTTCCACAACCTCCTTGGGCAAACTGTTCCAGTACCTTACTGCCCTCATGGTGAAGAACTTCTTCCTGATGTCCAATCTAAATCTCCCCTCTTTCAGTTTAAAACCATCACCCCTTGTCCTATCACTGACCTCTGGTGAAAAGCCCCTTCTCAGCTTTTCTGTAGCCCCCTCAGGCACTGGAAGGTGCTATAAGGTCTTCCTGCAACCTCCTCTTCTCCAGGCTGAATAGCCCCATCTCCCTCAGCCTGTCTTTATAGCAGAGGTGCTCCAGAGGTGCTATTTGTCAAAAAAACCCCTGTAAATCAGACCTGTTAGCTGTGATTCAAAATTTATCATTAAGCTGTTTATGATATGTGTACTCAAGGGTGTTGACCTCTGCTTTTCAATGAGGAGATTGCCAGCAATACTTGAGCTAACAGGAGATCCTAGCAAAACAAAACCAGCAGAGCCAATCTGCCCTGCACCATAGGGAAGAAGGACATGCCTCTCTGTCAGCACCTTGTAAGCCTTAATTGAGAGAAGCTATTCTGAATGGCTGAACATACGCTTTTCATCTGCTGCTACAACCATGTTTCCTTTGAAAAGTGTTTAAATGAAAATGAACAACATGGTAGAGATTAATTAAGAAGAAATAACATGTAATTGTGACAAATTCCTTGGTCAAGTAAAAGTCTAAATAATTGAGATTATAAATCTTAAACAACTTTTTTCACCGTAGGAAGCTGTATATGTTACAGCATTTGATTTATGCCCATGTCCTAAAATAGGGAACTGAAATCAGGGCTGTTTGTACCATGCAGATTTAATATTAGTTGTCAAGAACACACTGTAATACTCCTGCATTAATGAACCTTTCTATTAAAAAAGGGCAGGAAGACTAAAGCAGTAAGAATACAGCTAATAATGAATTAAATACATTAAAATCAACCCTGCGGAATAAAATATGAGGTGGGTATCTTTTAGCCTACTTTAAAGATGAGTAAATTTTTTACAGAAACCCATAAAGTTTCATTATTAGTTTAGTAACTAAAACTGAACATACTGCTCTAAAAATCATTGTTGCTTAACTTTTGTTTGGCAAAGCTACCATTAATTTGTTACCCTGTGGATTTAGCTGGGCTTTACATAATAAACAGGCAAGCATGGCATAATAATTCCTATAATTAACATTACATAATGATACCATAAAAAAATTCCAGCTATGAAATATAAACAAGAACTCCAATAGGGTTTTTTTGTCCATTTTGCTAAATAAAGTCTCGTTAATATAGATGCATTAAGAAGAAAGCAGTTTTGGTTAAGAGTGCCAAAATTCAGTTAGAGTATCATAAAGGTTTCAGGGGTGTGAAAATTACTTGATTGCACTATTTTTAGAATGAGGTGCTAATCAATGGCCTGTTAAGTTTTACATACTCTTAAACTTCTCCTCTTAATCACATCAAGAAAATGGTGCCAACAGGCAACCTTTTAAAAAAGTCTCAAGTCCATTAAGAATCAGTTAGAACATGACCACAGTTAGGTCTCCTTGTGGTAAATCTGAACTTGAAGAAGAGCTTTAAAAATGTCATGGCTATCCTGTAAAAAACAGCTATTTCAAGTCTTTGATTTTGCACTAATTGCTCACTGTTGCAGTTAAAAAGCATGGTCCCCGCTCTACAGAAAGTATGTGGATAGGCTGGAGAAGATCCAGAGAAGGGTCACAAGGATGATGCAAAGACTAGAGGAACTGCTATATGAGGAGAGGCTGAGAAAACTGGGTTTGTTCAGCCTTGAGAAAATAAGATTTTGGGGAGACCTTATTACCATGTTCCAGTGCTTAAAGAATGGCCACCAAAAAGACAGAGAGTCCCTATTCATAAGGAGTTACATGGAAAAGACAAGGGCAATGGGCACAGGTTGCTCCTGGGGAGATTCTGATTAAACACAAGAGGTACATTTTTCACCATGAGGACAATCAAACATTAGAATAGTCTCCCAAGGGAAGTGGTAGATTCCGCCACATTGGATAGTTTTAAGTCTCAGCTTGACAGGGTGCTGAGCCATTTCATATAAACTATAGTATTACCTAAATAGGTTGGACCAGATGACCCCTGAGGTCCCTTCCAACCTGGCATTATATGATTCTAAGATTATACAGAACTGCTGGTAGGGGGTACAGAGCAGCACGGTAATGACAAAAAAAGTTCATCTTGCTTATGAAGAAAGAAAATAATGAATATTCCACATAATAAAAAATACTAAAATTTTACCATCATTGGTAAGCTTTAGAAACAGACACGCTTCACTAAATGCTTCCTAAATAAATTTTTTAATTAGTGAAACAAAAACACTCATAAGGAGAAGACACTTTCCTCATTTTCTCCCACTATGAAACTATTGTGGTGATTCAAGTTTCACAATTTCTCAGTTAAATATATAGCTATAGTTTCAATACAGTCATCTCAGTAAAGATGTGCCCTTAGCGTTATTTTTGTCTTGCAGCTACTACTTTGAAAAGTAACCCTTGAACCTGTGAATGGAAATGAATATAACTGCTACCATACTGCCCATCTGGCTTTTGACTACAGGTAGCACTTCAGGGTAGGGCTGGAAGTACTTTCTTTCAAGCTTTTTTAATTATTAAAGTCACAAAGTAAGATTTAAAAAAAAAAAAAAAAGTGAATGAAAAAGCTAAAAGCATGAAAAATGCTTTTTATTTTCTTTATAAAACCTGTGTTTTTATCATGCTTTACCACATATCCCTTCTTATGACAACCTTCTGTACTTCACCGACAAAAGAAATCCCTGCTATTGTTGTGACTAGAAGGTGCTCTTCATTGGACTGCTTACACTGGAATTTGTTCATGAGCTTTGACACAGAATCCACATGCTGTACAACTGCATAAGGCCCACTTTTGTTCTTATATTCGCTGTCTTTTTCAGAATATATTTCATAGCTCTAAGGTGCCAATCAGACTGCTGAAACACTGCCTATTCAGCCTCCCACTGAGTAGAGGGTCCTGCCCAGCCTTGGCAGCTCTGGAAATGCCTTGGAAACCCGCTCCCCCAGTTCCCCTGCCCTTCACTTCTCCTTATCTTTCAGTGGTATGTCCCATGAGTTTTGATGATTCCTGCAGCTTTGGCTCCTCTGCAATGTTAAAATGGCTCTCAGCAGCTCTAGCAGCTGTTTCAGGTTGTAATTCGGTAGCACTGATCTGTTAGCTAAATCTTACCATCTGTGGATGAGATGCTGTCTCCTCAGATTTCTATAACTTTATTGTCACAGAGCCTGACACAAATTCCCCTAGCTGTCTAGCTGCCTACAAGAGACTGATTTGAGGCAAATATCTTACATTCAAGTTGATCTTTACAACTTTTGCAGAGTTACTGCAAAACAGATTTCAGTCACTTTCTGTTCTGCAAAACAGCACTCTGACTGACTGCAGTCTGAGAGAAACTACAGTACTTTACTAGTCTTTACCATATATGTATTTTAGCAGCTTCCTCTTATAGTTCAGAATATTTATATATCTAAGAAGTGAGTTAAAAAAAATAAATCTTTATTTACTTACATAAGCTTATTGCATACAGGTGGCAAAAAGGCAGTTTTGTTTTCTTCTATCCATTTTGTTACATTTACAAGAAGCTCCATGGTCTGCCAACCAGGAAACTGTTGACGGAGATGTCAGAGTGTGCAGACTGCTCTTCTGTGACCAAACTGCGTGTGACTCCATCCCCAGAGCTCAGGGGATTGGCTGGTAGAAGAGGTGTCTTCAGGCTTGAGTGTCAAAGGGGACAGGTCCATCAGCCCAAAGGTTACTTTGTAAAGAGTGCTAATGCTCCAGCAGCTTAGCTAATAATTGACTAGTGTTTTTAAAAATATATATATGTTTTTAAATTGCAGGCTTACTCTATCCACGGGAGGTTTCTTAAGTCCCTTCACTGCATCAACTGGAGTATGTTACCTCTCTACAGAAACTGTCTCATTACATAGACAAACTGGGAGTTAGGAAAACAACAAGATTTGGGCATGCACACTCTTCAAGCCTAAGATAGAAAGCTAAATACAAGTTGCAAGCTGTTGCTCAAATTTTAGTTACATATATAATAAAAATGTACCTGTTAAAACTATATGTCATTTATATAAAGTTACCTGTGTAACTATCTATAGGTGTTTCAGGCTTGGTAGTAGAGCCTGGTTGCCTTTTCCCACCTCTCCTCAACCTTTTTAGGCTGAATGTCTGGGGGTGTGTATTAGAAAATATTAGGATCATCTTCTGCCAGATAGCAAAAATTAAATAATAATTTAAAAAAGCTATTTCTTTTGGGATAAAAAGATCCACAAGTGAATTACAGTTCTCCTTTATTAGTACAATCACAACGGGCCTGGCAATAATTTCTTCTGAAATAACCCCAAAGTGAGTATTATTTCACTCAATTATTAAAAAAAAAAATCCACATTATTTATACCATCAGAATGGATGTGGTAAGGCACCAGTGCACAGCAGTTATTAGGCCTGTTTTTGGACCTACAGACAGGAAAATTTCAGTATTTTTTGTCCTGCAGGCTGCTGTCACACTATTTAGCTGTGAAGGAAAGAGATCTATTTAAAATGCATTTTCACCTAGGGGATTGTGATCCAGGCTGGTGGGATCAGGAGAACTGAAGACGCTATTTTAATGACCACAGTTTTGTAAAGCTCTACCTCATCATTAGTAAAATGTATTGCAGAGCAGGACTCCCATTTATCAGGCATGAAAACCAAGAGCTCATACAAAGCCACAGCAGGGAAAACACAGAGATCCTGGAATTGATTGAGCCAAGACTTGTTCATCACCATATTAATGTGCCAGTTTGAACTGCAGAGCTATTGTTCACAACCCCTGCTCTAATCTCTAGTCTCCACTTTTTTCCACCAGGCAGAATACAAGGTACTATTACCTGCAGAGAAAACCATCTCAGTTGCAGGCTGATAAATCCATTTTGTGGCTGGATTGAAACGAGAAAATCTGATAGCTAGACCTACTCAGGGAGGAAAAAAAATGAAGATAACTTCTGAAACTCGCCATTAAGTATGAAGCTGAGGTTATTATCACAGGGCAGCATTTTCTGCAAACTTTTTAAATCAATAGGTCTTGAAAAATTGAGTTAATGGATTCTTTGTGCATGTAACAGGTATAAGGGAACATTGCTCTTTGTTTTTTTGTGTTGTTTTGTTGTTTTTTCTGGTGTGTGTGTTTTGTTTTTTTGAGGTGGTCTAAGAAATGGCCTGCATGGCCAGGACCATGAAACCCTGTTTCTTTGAAGTGTATTGGAGAGGCAAAGAAAAGAGCCAGCATTGTAGCCTCTGTGAAACTGCACTAAATAGGTACGTCTTGTGACCTGACTGGAGCCTGCATTTTTCTTGCTAGTCTACTTCACAATGACTTCTCACATCCACCAAAGCTTGTTCCAGCAGCTGGGGTTTTTGCTTTCTCTTTTGGCTCAGATCCTTCCCTTTATGCAAAGGTAAGGACCCGATTGTCAGCTTTTGCTGCCAGAAAAGTGCAAGACTACTGAAGAATAAAACTGCTATACAAAAATAATCCATCTTTGCATTGAGGGTGCAGGAAAAGAAGTGGGAATGGAAAAAAAAAAATGTTTAGGACAGCACCTACTCAATTTTTCTACTTTCCTTAACCACCAGGTCTACCTAGAGACTTAAATGAACTAGCAGGAAGCAAGCAGCTTTAACTTTTTCTGTTGGTTTTTTGTTGTTTTTTTGGTTTTTTTTTGGGGGGGGGTGGGTGTTTTTTTGTGGGTTTGTTGTTGTTGTTGGGTTTTGTTGGTTGTTTTTTTTTTTGTTTTATTAAATATTATGAATCATGGAATTGTCAGAGTTGGAAGGCACCTCTAGAGATCATCTAGTCCAAATCCTGCTAAAGCAGGATCGCCTAGTGCACATCACACAGGACTGCATGCAGGTGGGTCTTTAATATCTCCAGAGAAGGGGACTCCACAACCTCCCGGGACAGCCTGTCCCGGTGCTCTGTCACCCTCACTGTAAAGAATTTTTTTCTCATATTTAAATGGAACTTCCTGTGTTCCACCTTGTGCCCATTGTCCCTCATCCTGTCACTGTGAACTACTGAAAAGAGTCTGGCTAATCCTCCTTTTACGTACCCTTTAGATATTTTCAGGCATTAGTAAGGTCTCCCCTCAGCCTTCTCTTCTCCAGGCTAAAGAGACCCAGCTCCCTCAGCCTTTCCTCATAAGGGGGATGCTCCAATCCCCCAATCATCTTTTTTGCCCTCTGTTGGACTCTCTTGAGTATTTCCCTGTCTCTCTTGAACTGTGGAGTCCAGAACTGGATGCAGTGTTCCAGATGTGGCCTCATCACATCAGAGCAGAGGGGGAGAAGGACCTCTCTCAGCCTACTGGCCACACTCTTCCCTATGCACCCCAGGTTTCCATTGGCCCTCTTGGTGGCAAGGGCACATTGCTGGGTCACGGATAATTTACTGTCTACCAGAACTCCCAGATCTTTCTCCTTGCAACTGCTTTCCAGGAGGTCCACCCCTAACCTATATTGGTGAAGAAATGGAAAAAGGATTAAAAAAAAGGTATGACATTTCACCCAGCTGAACATGCTTTCTATTTTGGGTCAATTCTGTGCAGTTTTTCTGTTCATTCTTTGAGAACAAATACAAATTAAATACTTCCTTAAGAAAATGAAAAAAAAAATTAAAAACCCTATACAGTTGCTGAAAACAAACATTATAACTGTATTTGAACCCAAGTACAGTTATGATCACACATACTAACTCATGTGGCCAAATTTCACTACTGTATTCATACTACTGTTCATAAACATGCTATCAAGGGCCTCAGTGTCTGTGGGGACAAACAAGAATAAAGTGAAACACATAGCACAACAGAAGAGTTAAAGACTCCACAAAAACTACTAGAACCTTCATTGATATCACAGTTACATTTATGGGAAAGATGATTAAAATACAAGCAGTAATTATGATCTATATAAACACCTAAATTAGCTCAGTCCTCTCTCTTGTCTAACGTGAAACGTGCAATAGTTTGCCTGCATGCTCACTGCTTCAGCTTTGATTCTTCCCCACATCCCTGTATTTGCCAAAAAAGCACTTGTTTGGATGCAATTATGTTCACAGCAATCTTTGCATGGTACATGATACTTTTATTTTCTAGTGTAATGGTGTGCTGCTAAGGGTAATGAAGGCAGCTACCATTTCCTGGTATGTCAACTAATGCAATGTGATGATGGCTGTGTGTATTCTTCAGGTAACTTTCAAAGCATGTAATACAACACACATACACTGTGTTGTTTCTATGTGTAACGTTAGCCTTTAAGATGTATTAGGCATTTTCATATCAGAACACCTGATTCCATCCTTGAATTTTAGGAAACCACAAGCCAAAAAATCTTCAGTCATTGAAACAAGCAGTTTAGCCCCCACATACGTGTTCTTGTATCTCAGATCCTCTGTACTATAGTCAAGTAAAATGAAGTCAGTCCAGAGGTAAACCCTCAATGAATTATCTATCCAGAATAAACTCTAATTTTGTTTGTCATGCCAATGAATAGGCCCAAACAAATTTTTTAGCGAAGCAGTTAATTTACACTCTTGCAAGAATGGGTAACCTAAACAAGCAGACACACTTGATCATAAGGTAACTGTTTATATTCCCTATTCCCAACGCCAGGTTCCCTCCCATTTCCCCACTGGCTGGGTAGTCCAGGGTTTACAGCCCGATGCTTCTAATTATCCTGTAAGTTTTCCACCCATTTACACATTCCATTCTAGGGGTTTACTTTTTACCTTTTAAGGTTTAATTCTGACCTTTCTTGCCCCCTTGGCTTATCTTCCCGACCACCAAAACTATCTATACCATCTGGTGCTGTAAGTGACTTTGTTCTGTCTTATCTTGGACCATAAATCCTGCTCCATGTACCCTGGCAGCTTCAGATATCTCACCTCCCGCAGTTACTATGGATGAAGTTCAGTTAAATCCCTCAGTTTCTTGCACCACAACCACCCCAGGTGTCCTTGGAGCGCCCAGATTATTTTACTTTTCAGTCACCGTGAAGTTTACTCAAGTTCTTCTCAGAACAGAGAAGAAACAATGACCCTCCTCACATTAGGGTGCAAAAGCAACGCTACGTTTCTAACCCGTTTAGCATTATTCAAAAACAATTTTGCATTTTTCCTGCTAAGAACTCGTTTTTGCAGTGCCAGGGCAGCCCCCGTGCTGCACAGGAGGGCAGCGGTGCAGTGAGGAAGCCAGCAAAGCCCAAGGACTGGTTGTACTAGAGGATAAGAATTTAATTTGCTGGTCGTACTTAGTTGCGCTTCTCTCCGGGCTAGGACTCAGCTCGACAGACGGGTGAATTATCTCCCCGCCGAGGCGGGTTAGCGTGAGGACGAACGCTGCCGACCTAGAGGCTAAAGCCTTTTACCGGAGGCGCTCTGGCTCCGCACGGCCGAGGCCGCTGCCCGTCTGCCCTGTCTCCGGCGTGTGGCACCCCGGGCGCCGGCCCAGCGGGCAGCCAGGTCGGGCGGATGCTGACATGGGAGGCCTCTCCGTTCCTGCCGACCTTCCC